GCAGAAGTGATTGTAGTTGGCGTTCCGTGTTTGAACCTTATACAATTCCAGAAGAGATCCTTTTTTATATATTTTTTACTCAAATGTTAAGTGCCCTCTAAAAATGCAATGTTGAGCCACTAAAATGGGAAGAAATCAGCTAGCAAAAATTGTTGAAATTTTATGTGTATAAACGTATCCTTTTTTTTCAAAAGTGCACTCTACAATTATATCTTTATCAAAACTTTCGATTCAACAGCAAATATTCTATCATGTTATACAAATTCAAATGGAAAGATTGTAAAAAATGATAAAGGTAATATTATTAAGGGTTTAGGTCATTTTTGATCATTTAACTTTTGGTTTTGTGCTCATTTGATCACTTAACTATTTTTAAGTTTTAAAAGGTCATTAAACTTTTCGCTTTGTGCTCATTTAGTCACTTAACTTTTGGTTTGGTCACATTTAGTCACCTAACTATTAAAATTGTGCTCATTTAGTCACTAAACTTTTAAATTTTTTCAAAAATTTAGTAACTAAATAAGTAAAATTTTAAAAGTTAGGTGACTAAATGAACACAAATCTAAAAGTTAAGTGACCAAACCAAAAGTTAAGTGACTAAATTGACACAAAATCAAAAGTTTGATAACCTTTTAAAACATAAAAAGAGTTAAGTGACCAAATGAGTACAAAACCAAAAGTTAAGTGACCAAAAATGACCTAAACCTTATTATTAATTCATATCGATAGCTTACAAAAAGAGATTAAATTCTGATTCAACAACACAATATCGTTTTTTGTGAACCTTTGCATGTGGTTGATTTAATCAATTAGATTATGTTAAGTTTAGGTTTGCTTCTATAAGGTGATTTTTACGAGATTTTTTTTATTTTGTTTTATCGTATTAACTTTATCCTTTATACGATTAGTATTTAATTACAACCCGTGATGCGTTGGAAAACTCATTTGCAAAGTCGATCACAGTTTATAAAAATAAAGTTTCGATCCAAACAATTATGTATGAGAAAGTAAATAATAATTAAGAAGTTATAATAATAAAAATTATATTAATAAAAATGAAAACTATAAAAACAAAGTTTGTAAGGGATCAAAGACAATTTTAAAATATTGTATTAAGTTTTTTAAATTTAACAAAATTTTCTAATGTGCAACAGTAAAGTGTCTGAAATTTTATTTTGCCCCGAACTTCAAATCATTTTGGACCGACACTGATAGCCAATGGGCATCACATAATGTGACACCTTATTAAATGTCACTAAATGACACATTCCTTATTGTGATCGCATCTAAGTTGGTTGATCATGAATAAACCAACCACATCTATATTTTTTTACATTTCATCAAACATGCAACACATTCAGTTAGACACAATCCCTACAAAAAGTGGGGGATCTTAATGGGAGATTACCCCTCAAATTGTTAAGCGCAGTGAAAAAATTTTGAGAAATTTTTTGATACAGTGCAATTTTTCGGGCATGCTACTCCTAAAATTTATATATACTATCTCTGACAAAAAAAAATTTATCCGCCACAACATACAACAACCATTATGCATAGAAAGTCTCAAGAAAGTAATTTTTTTGTTAATTACAGTAATAAAATTAATAGTTGGTAATATATCATCATCTTTTTATTCAACAATAAAAACTAATAGTTGGTAATCTAGAACATAGTGCTGTGTGCCAACTATATGTGTAATTATTAGAAGACTTAGAAGAGCCTTCAAAAAGTTTCTGTTGTAAGTTCATTTTCTGCTTCTTCGTCACAAACACTCAACCCTTGCAACATTCCATGTCTTCTCCTTTTGTTTTATCTCTTCTTATACGACATGTACACCACTTTCTAAAATTCTTTCGCTTCTTCCCTATACGGTATACGTCATCCATCATTATCACATTCTTTTATCCATTTTATCGATCAACAATCATTCTTGATGATTGATATCGAGGATTTTCCATGAAACAATAATTTTATCCATTTTATCGATCAACAATCATTCTTGATGATTGATATCGAGGATTTCCATGAAACAATAATTATAATTCAAATGAAACCGAATATTTAAGAAGTTTTGAAACAGTTAAAACATTATCTTATTCAAGTATGATTTTATATATCGTGGACATGTAGGTTTGTGTAAAACTTGGGTGGTTTTTAAAATAGTTTGTTGAAACAGGTTTGTTTGAAAACCTTTTGTAAAAATAGGTTGGTTTTTAATAGGACCCACCTTTTTTAACAATTCTAAATAAAATTGTAAATAAACCGAACGTTTACTGAACTGTTCATGAACCGTTCGACGAAAAGTTCGTTTATGTTCTTTTATTTAATAAATAAACTAATATGAATACAAATGCTCGTTCGTTTAGTTAAACGAACGAACATGATCAATGGTCTTGTTCGTTCAGTTATGTTCGTGAACGACCGTTTATGTTTTTTGTTTACGTTCGTTTATGTTCCTTCACCTAACTTCCGTTTATGTTCAAATATGTCTAATTGTGTTTGATTATATTAATATATCATATGTTCAATTATGTTTTTTTTTATCTTTGTTCATTTATATTCGCTCGTTTAGCATGTTCATGAATATAAACGAACGAACACGAACAATGTAATTTGTTAAATGAACGAATATGAACAAGAAAACTTGTTTGTTTATCCGTTCGTGTTCGTTTATTTGTTCGACTAACTTAAACGAACGAATATGAACAAGTCTTATTCGTATTCCTTTAGTTCGTTTACAGTCCTATTTCTAAGGTCGTTAACACTTATTTCTAACATTTCTAATTATATATATATATATATATATATATATATATATATATATATATATATATATATATATATATATATATATATATATATATCCAGTAAGATTTTTTTTTTTGATAGCAAGGTAAAAAGTTTTTTTTTATATATTTTTTTGATGAACAAAACAAATAAATTATTAGATGAATCACAAATAAAATAATTAACAAAAAAAATCTCAAAAAATATATCGATGATTCATTTATACAATGAATTTGTTGTTATTCACTAAAATTGTTATAAAAATGTTTTTTTTTTCTTAATTTACTTTAAAATGAATCATGATGATGTTTTTTTTAAAAAAAAAATTCTTATGAATCATCTAACTTTTGAATTATCTAATAATTTATTTTATTTGTTCGCTAAAAAAATATAGAAAAAAAGTTCTTACTTTCTTACCAAAAATGTTTTTTTTCTTATTTGATCTTGACTCTCTCTCTCTCTCTCTATATATATATATATATATATATATATATATATATATATATATATATATATATATATATATATATCTTTACTATCTTATAAAAGAAATCTTACATTTTCTAAAAATAGATTTGAATATAATAATAATATTTTTTTAAGACGTCCAAATATTTAAGCTGAAGATACAAACTAACATCAATAAAATAATAGTATTAAATTTTAATAGTTTTCCGTTAAAATCAAACCTTTGAATTTCAAATACACACCCTATATTGTGGAAGTGTCAACGTATTATGTAGTTCAAATTTGAAGTTTCAAACGTTTACGTAGTGAAATGAAAACCGATAAGGTCGATCCCTCACGACTCACCTTCTCACTCTCGGTCTAACTATTCGTATAAATTTCCTTTTAATTTGCCTAACTTCAAGCTCAAATATATTCGATTCCAGCAAATCATCCCTCATATCTCACCCATCTCTACAAATCCTCTCGAGAAACCACAAAACTACAACAACTCGAGGCTGTCACTATCCTTCTTTACAAATTCTCTTAACCCTTTCTACCTCTCTAGCCGGTGGATACAGTCACCATTCACCATAAGTCTCGACCTCTGTAAGGTTGTAAGGTTAGATCCTCGGTGAGAAGAAATCTGATATTGAAGATATAGTGAATGTCTTAGGAGTCTCTGAATCGAACTCCACACCCAACTCTGTTTGGTTAGATCGTTGAATTTCACACAAATCATTGCTTTTGTTAAATTTTATATCAAATATGAGCATAATTGCTAACTGGTAGTTGCCACAGGTCGTTGATATAATAAGCAAAGAAACGAGAGTCTAACTCATAACTTGTGGTGAGTTAATCCTCATGGCTCTATTCCCTTTTTCCTGATCAAAACAGAATCAGATTGCTTGGTTTTTGGGATGATTACTTCATTTATATCTGATTTAATTGTTTTTTTTCATCGATCATAGTATTTCAAATATGGAACAAACAAATGAGAAAAGCCCTAAACATTCATCTTTATTCTTCTTGCTACTAAAAACAAAGACAGACAACAAGGACTTGAGCCTGTTCCTAGGTTGTATTTTTTTTCTTCACATCATACCTGGTGCTTGATCAAAAAAGGGTGGGTGTGCTGCAAGCTTCTTGGTGGTTGTGATTCATATAAAAGAAAGAGTTGGGGGTGAAAAGGAGAGACAAGTAGCAAATTGACTCTTGGGAGTTTCTTGGTGGGTGTGATTCGTACCCCTTTAGGCATGCCCAACAACTGTTTGTGGAAATGTCCTCTTGCAGGTCTGAATCTTGGTAAAGCTATAGAAACATGGTTGAAAACCTTAAAGAAGTGTCATCCTTCTGTATAAATCTTGCAGGTCTCCAACTCTCTCTCTCTCTCTCTCTCTCTCTGTATCTCTCTCACACACATATACACACACAAAATACACAATTTTTATAAGGGGATTACAATATTACCATTACCAACTTTTCCATACTGCTTTTCAGATTGAAATGTTGTAAGCATAATAGTTAGAGTGATTTGCTTCCAGATAGACCCAAGCAATCATCATCACCACCCCTCCTCCTTATCTCTACTCGATGACGACTTCCTCAATTTGCATAGTCCCGAAAAGCTGATTCCATTGCTACAATTCCAGAGGTAAACCTTAACTGCTAGATATTGATTCTGCAATTAGGTTAAATTTTCAATATCGATGATGGTTTTCAGGTGGAAGAAGCCAAGAAACCTTTAATTACAAATTCTCAAAGTCATGCCATCAGATCATCCCCATCTCAACGACGTGACTACTATTACATGTCTGTCTTTATGCTTTATTTAATTACTCCTTTATGACCAAAATTCTCCAGTACTCTTTGTTTAATCTGATGAAACTACTGTAATATCTATTTGCAGGTCAGCAAGATCATTGGCTGGAAGTTCAACTCCACCAAACAGAGGTTTTGTGGACAATAACAAGTGGTCCAACCTCAGCTATGGCTATGGCTACTGCTACTGATGAAGATGATGATCATTCTTCAGAAGATGAGACATCTCCTGAGATACCTGCAAAGACTACTTCCCAGCCTAGGCCAATACCCCGCTCTGTAAGTTTTTCTAAAAGCTTGATTGATTTCTTGTATCTGCTGATTGATTAGTTGTTGCTAAAAAGCCTATATCGATCCATGATATATGAGCTGATCAGCTGCTTATGTCAGGTTGGTTATGGAGCATTTTTGGCTACTTCACTCAACTTTCCTTCACGCACAAAGGGTTTGATGCAAGTGTATGCTCACATGAAGCTTCTACAAGTATGACCACTGCTTATTTTACTTATTAGCTCGTTGGTGGATGAAAACTTATGATTATATATATATATATATATATATATATATATATATATATATATATATACATATAAGTAATTTTGGTGTTGATGAAATTAGTGTTTGACACTGACAGGATGGTGGTGGAAGTCAAGCTGTGTATGGGCAATGGCTAGGCTGGATGATGGCTGCTATATACGTGGGTGGAAGGATCTCTCAAATCTCCTTAAATGTAACTCCTCATGCTTCTTCATCGAAATCATATTTTCATTGCAATATATAATAAAACTTCTAACATAATTGGTGTAATTAATTGTCCCCAGATCAAAAGACGCAGTGTTGAGGTAAGTCTGTCATGATATTTTTAATTTTAAAAAAGATAGCATCATGCAATATCTTGAAAAAAAATATGTGTAATTGATACAATACAGGGTTTGAATCCTCTCATGTTCATCTTTTCTCTCATTGCCAATGCAGTTTATGTTGGAAGGTGTCGATTTCTGTCTAGATCCCTTAATATTATACACTCTCAGAAGTTTTGTTGATGTATAATTTATGATTTGAATGCAGCATTCTTGCAAGAAGTAGAGAGTGGGAGAAAATTAAAGCAAATATGCCTTGGCTGCTAGATGCTGCAGTTTGTGTGGCACTTGATGCTTTTGTATCCTTTAATTTTTATGTTTTGATATTTTTTTAGTTATTTAATTTTTATGTTTTGATATTTTTTAGTTATTTAATTTTTATGTTTTGATACTTTTTTTGTTATTTAATTCTTACATCATACATAGTGTCGTAAAGTGTAATCTAGAATGTTATGATTGGTTGGAATAGTCTACTCTCGTGCTTGAAGGAGTTTCTCTACTTATTGACGGTTTTACCCTTGCCCCACTTCACCCCACAAAAGTCTTCCACTACTTACATCATACATAGTTTTAAAATTAAACTTGAAGGAGTTTCTCCACTTATGGAACAAGGCTTACTTATGCAAACTCCACGAGTATCCGTAAAAGAAAATAAGCATGCACTCCACTAAAAGATAGTTTTTTCACCAAATTCAAAACCAAGAAAATATGCACACATATCAGATCTTAATGAAAAAAACAACCCTTTAATGTCAAATCCAAATTTGATATCTAACCTAACTCACAACTATAGAGGCTTTTAATTCCATCTATCTAGCTAGGAAATAAGTGAATGGGTAAAACATTATAGATGTTGCTTCCATAATATCTTCCTACCACAAATTCACTATCTGGTAAAAACAGAAGACAGTAATAGTTGAAGGTAGGTCTCAGAGTTCATCTGCAATAAACAATTGATTGGACCAAAAATTAGATAACTTAAGAACTAAATGCAACACCAAAAGTCATTAACGAAGAAAATAGACCTGCAATACAAAAGTATTAGTGAAGCTTAACGAACAATTAAAAGGTGATGGAGTTTATACAACAAATGTGGTGTATAAAGAAGTGTTGCACAATTAATAATGTATAATTAGTCATGTGCTATTACACATTTTCATATTTTGTGTATTTTTATATAATTTTATTATTTTTGTTTGAACGGCTTAAACATTTTATATTTTGTGCCGCTTTGACAGGTTTCTCTTTATCAGTTATTTGATGTATCATGTAACAAATAACACCACAGTTTGAATATATTGTCTTTGACATTTACTTTCTTTTGGAACATAACATTTTTGTAAATGAAACATATCACCGAAAGAACTTACATGCCCCGCCGCTTTGCGCGGGTAGACTGCTAGTATATATATATATATATATATATATATATATATATATATATATATATATATATATATATATATATATATATATATATATATATATAACCTTCTTGTGTCATAATTTTAGTCCTTCAAGTTTTTTTTTACCTCCTTTATTATTTTGAAAACTTCAAAACTCATGGTTTTTAATTCTCTATAAAATAAGTATAATATTTATAGAAAACATATTTTAAAAAATTAAAATAAAAAAATAATGAGGGAAGTTTCCCACCCATTTTTTTGGTTTAAGTGAATGAAAGGAAAATAAAAAAATAAAAAAAAGTGTTGTGACCCACAAAAAATAAAGAGAGTTTCCTACCTAGTCTTAGATAGTTAGAAATAGAAGTTAGAAATGTTAGAAATATGGGTCAATTTAAAACCTAGCCTACTTTTAAAAAGCTTTTTCAAACAAACATACTTCTACAACTTAGTTTAAAAAGCAACCTATTTTGCAAAAAAAAAAAAAAAAAAAAAACTCTTTGGAAATGCATGGCACTGAAAATTTCAAATGAAACAAGTTATAAAAACTATTTTTAGTGGTTGGTATTTGCCAAGAATATTTAAAAACCTATGGTTTATTTAGTTTATATCATGTATAAATAAGGAAACACCTGAAAATCAAACACCCAAAAAGTATCATAGTTTTGAGAAGATCCAAACATGAGCTTATAAGGGGACTTATAATTGAGAACCGTAGTGGGTAAAAGATTAATAATATATGTTACCGACATGAAAGCATCAACCCAAAAAGAAGCAGGAGCATGGCCATTGAAAAGCATAGCAAGGCCTGTTTTAGTAATATGACGATGTTTTCTTTCAGCTCGACCGTTTTATTAAGGTGTGTAGGCACATAAACATGATGATGAGTGCCATTCTCAAGAAAGAGAGTACGAACCCGGTTGTTGAGAAACTTTGTGCCACCATCACTTTGGAACAATTTAGGTTTTTGTAACATCTCAAAATTTTCAACAAATTTTAAACTTTTTGAAACAACCATTTAATAATAAAAGTGTATACAAAACCATTGTTTCCAAAACATTATTTAAAAATCAAAGTCTCCTAAGATCCAGTCAGTTGAAAAACTAAGGATGTGTACGGTCACGCCTTCGCCTTGTCACGACCCTCTAAAGTATTGGAAACCATAAACCAAAACTGTAAGCATGAAACTTAGCGAGTTTTCCCCAAGGTACCACCACATACACATAACAAACAACAGCATGCATACGGAGCCTTCGGCCTAACTGGAATGCAACACCAGCCTACAAAATATCTGGAACGCTTACAGAACATTCAACATGATTGGAACGCCTTACCGGGCCTTTAACATATCTGGATCGTTCTCTGGGCCTTCGGCCGGACTAGTACGCCTTTCAGGCCTACAGTCTATCCGGGACACTATGGGTCTCTTGGCCTTCAGTCTACACTGGTCCGCCACAACCCAACCACACACAACATGTCGACATATACATAACAGATACACATACATATAACCAATCAACAAACAATCAGATAGATGTTACAGATCACTAAGCATAGCATCATCCTATATACCAGGATACCGCTCTAACAGATCACTACAACACGATAACATACTATCACATAACAGGACATCTAATCCAATGGGCCTGCCTTGGTGCGTTCGACTCGTAAGTATAGTGAGGAAAACTCACCTCACAACTTGATAAAAGCTAATGAGGTCCTGACTCTGAATCTCAACTCTAACCAACACCTAACCATTAAAAGACCAATTCTCAACATAATCCACAGTCCTTTACCACGATGTGGTGTCGAAAACGATAAAATAGTCGCGACTAGCCCCGCCACCACATCGTGGAGGCCTTACCATGTCATGGTAATAGGGTTTTCTGCAACTTAACACATTCAACCATTTTCTTCGATTCTAAAGGGTATCCAACTCAGATCTTGTCCGTAATATGGTCTAGATGGATAAAGTTTCCAAATTTATCCAATAGAACCCTCTAAAGTGTATAAATCTCAACTTTAAGGTCCAAAACACTACTTGGATTAAGCAATAATCACTCAACCCATAAAGTTAATTGTCCAAAAGCTCCAAAAGAGTCTCCAACACCAAACACATCATAAAAATTAGGTGCTTTTTCAGACATGCATGTCCAATGCATGTCTTGAACTCTTATTTGGCCAAAAATAGGGCAAAAAGTCCAAAATTTCATGCATGGCCTCAATACTCAAATCTAATTCAGATCCAAAGAGTCAAATGCTCCAAATAGCGTGGAGATTCATAAAGTTGCAAACCTTAATGAAGTTTAAAATTTCAAAACAACAAGGCATAGATAAAAATGGGAAAAATCCATAGATCTATATACTAACTCATCAAGATGAAGACTTTTATACCTTCTTGAGATGCTTGAGCAAGATAGACTCCTGGACCTACATTTCTTTAGGCTCCGAATAAGATCTTTCACCACCTTCTTCCTTCACAAGCACCAAACACGGACACTTTGAGGCCAAAAACTCACACAAGGGATCTAGGGTTTGCAGGGACGATTTGGAGAGATGGAGGCTGATAGGATGGATGCTATGAGAGGTTGGGGAGTTTAAATAGGGTCTCAGCCCCTAAATTTTAGGGTTTTTTCCAATAGCTGCCACCACGTCGTGGTATCCCTTTACCATGTCGTGGTGGTTTATTAAACTCACGTAGCCCAAAGCTCATTGCCATGTCGTGGTAAGGCTTCACCAAACCGTGGCCAAAAATAAATTATACTAAATTGGAAATAATTTCATACCTGGAATAAAGTTTTACAATTCTCCCCCAGTTAAATCAGACTTCGTCCTCGAATTATGTTGCAATAACTAACCCATGGTAGTATTTCCATATCTCCACCTCGATCACTTAGACGGTCCTCCCCAGAACCCCATCTGAACTAAAAGTCGGATCAATCAGGCGGCTGACTACCTATACCATCCTTGACTTGATAAGTTTCTTCACTGGAGAACCATCACAACCTTCCCAACAGTCAAACATCCATTACCTTAACCACCTGTTAAGCAAGCAAACCTCTCAGAACGCAGATAATATGATATCTCTTGCAATCTGAACCATACGGAACCCTTTCCGACCCTGACTTACTTTGCTGATTCCACTGGCGCATCAGGACTCCTGGCCATTCTCTATTGTCGAACCCTTCATCCGAAAATAATGCAGCTCTAAACACAAGCCTCAGCTAGATAATCACTGCAAATAGGCATAAGCGACGCCAAAGATCTAAAGTCGGGGAATCTTAAGGCTACAAACACCAAATCAACTCTATCAATATGCATCCTGAGACTAGAAACCCATAAGATCTAAATTTCTGAACCCATATTCCAGGACTGACATTCATCCATTTGTTGAATCCACCCCTTTCCCTGAGTATGACCACTACCGCGGGAAAGAACCAAAACACATCAATCGCGAATTTCCACCAATTCCAAATCCATAATATGTACCAAAGGCCTGTAATAAACCCTTGAGTCCTTGACACGCCATTTTCAACCACTGTTCCCATGAGCAAATATGAGAAATCCATAATTTTCACATTTTCCTCCAATCCTTATCAACTCTAGTGTACCCTTACCTGGAAAATCACTCGAGACATTCACGAAGACTTTATGATTTGAGACTTCATAACTGATTCCCAACCTTCATAAACAAGCCCCTAATAACAGCTTGCAAACAAACGGGATTTATAATGAAAACATTCTGCAGAGACTTTCTGATATACGGCTGACACTCCCAACAACCCTTAATTGTTCCCTTTATTCAAAACAATGGAATTGTGGGTCTCTTAACTTCCATAAATGCACCAACACCGAGAGTAACATAAGCAGAAGAAATCAGGAATCATGATCATTGGGCCCGCAGCCTATGTCTGGAATGCTATCAGTATTACACTGACCTTCTCGACATTCCAACATTCACCTGGAAACTCACAAGCAGCCCCACGGGGG